CATCTATTAGTGGATCAACAGTTAATTCATCAGCAACAACTTACATCTGGCAACCCTGCTTTGAACTATATTAACATTAGCAGGTTAAAATGCTCACAAAGACAAAGCTAACATGCTAATGGTAAGTATGCCACATTTGCTAATTAGCGTACAGTTGACACTGATGGTATGTCATATCATTTTGTAGATATTTAGTCATAAACCAAAGTAAACAAACATAAATATTGCTGAAAAGCTACGGCAAAGGATCGTCAGAATTATTACTAGTCATCCTAAGTGAAACATGAATGTCTGTAACAAATTTTATGACAATCTATGCAAAACTTGTTGAGACCTTGTAGCTCAAAACCACCATAATCTGTAGGTTTCATCCTTTGAGGATCATGCATGTCTGTGCAAAATCTCACAGCAATCCATGCATTATTAAGGCAAGTGAGTCAGGTGTTTTAGACAGATTGTTCCAGCAAACTGTGATCAATTTTTAAAGAGCGAGAGAAAGCCATTTGTGCTTCAGACAACAAATCTAATTGAAAAATGAACTTTAAATGTGAATGGTAAAACAATAATCTTACTAAATATGAATATATTTTCTGCTTTAATATGATCTCACCCTTGTTTGACACTTGGTGGAAAAATCAAGTTAGTGAGGAAAGCAATTGTTTACTGACTTGCTACTGTGACCTGCTGTTTCATTGCTGCATTTACTGCCTACATTCAATGGGGAACGAATCATATTGCTTAATTTGAACATATAGCGAGGTGTCTTCCACCTGTATTGATTTTTTGCTCTGCTTTTATTGTGTTTTGCTTCGAACACGGTCCATAAATCCTTTTACTTACAGGGCAATAAAGCCTTGACTTGCCACAGTCTCCTGAACACTGCCTAGCTGAAAGTGTTGAATGCCACGCAGGTGAATATATGAGCATGTTCTGACAGATTACCTTTCCATAAACTTCTGAGGGGACGCTGGAGATGATTTGTCAGCTCTTTTGGACGTCCTCACTGCCCGCACTCTGCAAGTAACTGCTTTTGGAGCCGCCATTTGTTTCACTGGTCTTGACCCCTTAGAGACACAAACAATATAATTTATCTTTGCGAGGAAGTTAAGGCCATGCAACTGTAAGTGCCACGTTTGTTTGAGTGTACTATGTAAGTTAGTAGTAGTAGTAGCACTAGTAGTAAAAAGACTTAGACTTAAGAATAACTCCGACAGCTAATGTTAGATAATTTAACGTTACTACACTGTCCGCGTCCAGTCGCCATGGTGACGTCCGGGCAAGTTCTTTCCGCGCACACAAACAAATCTTCCGGTGGCGAGTGGCGTTTGCCTTCAAAATAAAAGCGGGTAAAGTTTTAGGTAGCCTACATGAGTTTACTCAAGTAGAGGTTTGAGGTACTTGTAGCCTACTTTTTAAGTTACTTGTTCTACTCTAATACATTTCAAAGGGAAATATCGTACTTTTTATTCCATTTAACATTCATCTGCTATATTTAGTTACTAGTTAACGTTACTTTACTGATTCTGATTAAATAATATATGAAATAATACATATCTAATACATTGTTATAGGTTAAAGGTGCAATATGTAAGACTTTTAGTTGAAATCAGTACTTTAAGTGTATTTTGATATTAATACGTTATAATGCATTTACTTACATACATTTAACATTTTGAATAGGCTACATGACTTTTATTTCACTGTGGTATTACTACTTTTTCCACCATTGGATTTCTGCATGGTTGTTGTGGTTTCAAAGGTGTTACATTTAAGGGGTACTACTTTTGTATTGCACTTCCATTAAGGCTGGGGGGGACAGACAGATTAAAAACAGAATGGTCCAAATTAAAAACAGCAGAGGCAGATATATGCTGAATTTCAGTTTCTAGTATGTGTCAATCTCCTAAAGCACTGGATCTAAATTTTTTAGGATGCATTTTCTTCATTAGACCTCCCCTGCTGTGTAAACACCCACACCTTTAAAACTCCTTATCCACAGTGTGTAATACAGGCTTTCAGTTTTAAATTTGTTGACTCAAAGCCCAAGCTGAGATAACATCATCAGGGTTATTTTTTCAGACTTGAAAAAACTACTTCAGAGCCACAGAAAACATTAATACAGCATTTTTTAACAAGCTGAGTAGTACTAACAAGCACTAAGGAGAATGTGGAGTGGCCTTAACTACACCTAGGCTACATTAAACTTTAGGCATTAAACAGAAAGGTGAAAACACATATGCACACAACACAGCATAATATATAACACACTGTTTATGTATATAATTTCTATATGTTTTTAGTTTGTTTGGTGAAGAGGTATTTCGATTCAAATTATGTAAAAGTAGTAAAACCACAATGTGAAGAAATCCATTATATTCAAGTCAAAATTAGTTCAAAATTAGACTCTCTAATATTATTACTAAAGTGCAAGTTTTGTAGTTTTAGAGCCTCAATTCATGGTGATGTGAATGACTTTCATGATAGATGTAACAGTGTTTCCCTGTATTGCCCCTATTAAATAAACACATAAATTCATATACTTGTATCTGGCATCCTAGATTGCTATTAGTCAAAAGTTTAAAGATACTTTAGGTGGAATACATCAAGATAATAATGATAAAAATAATTTTAATATTGTCAGCTTCATCCTGTTGGAACACATGGTCTCTGAAATACTCACCAAAGGAGATACTTTTTCATTATTTTGAGCACAGGTTAGTTTCACATGAGGTTGGAATACATTGTTGAGACACTATATATGCATGGACACACGCACAGACACACACACACACACACACACACACACACACACACAGACACACACACACACACACACACACACACACACACACACACACACACACACACACACACACACATTGCAATGACTTACTTTCATTGTATGTGTGTAGACCATAATCGTAATTCGCCTAACCCGAATTCAACGCTAACTCTTGAAATCTGATGGTTTAACCAGAGGAAACTTGCTTTTTCTCTCTCTCTCTCTCTCTCTCTCTCTCTCTCTCTCTCTCTCTCTCTCTCTCTCTCCACACACACACACACACACACACACACACACACACACTCAAAAGTAATACCAGTTACTGTAAGCTCTAGCAGGCACAGTACGTTCTGCTGTAACCTTTCTCTGGGATAGCAATATAACTCCTCATCGGGGGTGTTAGCCCAGCACTAGCAGGGGAGTAACAGACGAGATTGATGTTATTTGTCTCTTCCCACATGCTAAGATAGAGGTCACATCTTACTGATGTAAGACAAGAGAGACATATAACACAGTCTCCCTCTCTTTCACCCAAAGGTTTCTTTCAGGGCTGCAGTGAGAGAGAAAAGGAGCTCTCAAATGAACTCGTTTTAGAGTCTGACCTCATTTCAGACATGAAGATACAGATTCATTTATAGCTGCACACAAACAGATGGACAGGCAGGCAGATGGATGGACAGATATCTATTTTAAAGTTTTTAGACCTTGTGAAGCATATGGTGGTGTAAGCACACAGGGTGGATCTACTCAGATTTCTTTAGGATATTTTATGCATAATACTTGTACTATGCAGTGTGGGACACACTGTGTTAGTTAGTAGTGTTAGTAACAAACAAAGAGATCACTAACAAATGAGGTAATGATGTACGTCATGAGGGAAATCATGCTAATATGCATATCTAGACAAAACCAACCAGACTGATGCTGTCTTTGCTAAAGCAGATGGCTCGCTTTAAGACCCATCGCATAATCAACCTCCCCGTTCCTGGAAGCCAGTAGGCTCTGCTAGCTGTCAGGGAAAATAACCATAACACTGTTGTCAGTCTAGCCGATCAGCTTGCCTGATGGAAGTGAAGTCCCTTTTAGGGCAACTGCAGCCCCTGGTATGGTAATGCCATGTAGGCCGCGTCCCTTTCCCTTGCATGCCCCCCACCACCACCACCACCGTTCCTGACATTTGATGTTTTCTGTAGCTATGTGTCCTTCTGCTGGCCTGGGGTCAGTTGTGGCTCTTGGATACCTGATGTCACTCTTCCGCATGGTTTGTCAGTCAGCTCTGACAGTGCAATGTTTGTCAAGTGGGGGTGAGAAAGGGGGGAAGGATCGCCATGATTAAGTCTAGAATCATGTCTTCTCTGTGTACTTTAGTGGATCTTTATACAAGGACATTGCATTTATGTAAGCAGCTGGTGGACACATTCTGTATTTGTGTCCAAGCTTTTAATGTGTATTCAGAGTGACATTCAGTTGCTTTGAGTAAAAGATCTGGTTCTGTCCACTCCTCCTATCCATTTGCTTGCATGTATTCAAAATACCTTAATTATATTAAAAGGAAATGCAGACTTTTCCTCCAGCTATTTACTTGAGCTGAAGTAGCTGAAGAAAGTCCATACAGTACCTTCCCCTGTTAATGTGGGCGCCATGCATAATGTGGCCGGTAGCATATCTTTAAGTAGGAAAATGACAGCTCATTAAAGGGTTCACCACTTCTGAAGCCTACTTTCAGACTCTTCAGAGGTGTGGAGCACTGATAGGGACCCTCTACACAGCTCTTCAAAGGATGATGACATGTCAGGAATTGAAAAGAAAGGCCAAGGGTGGTTCAGAGAGGTGCGAGTCATTCTCTGTGAAGTGGGCATTTTCTGAAGTGTCACCTGCTTTCAACTTGCTTATGGGTTGTTGGTAAGTGTTATGTGCATGTTAAATAATTTGCTTATATGTCAGCACACACCGATCGATAAAGTACGCAAGCCAGACACCACACAAGTTTGTTACTTTAATCACTTTTATACTTTGATTTTTCTACCTGTGCCTCTGATAAGCAGATCCTGCACATTCTGCAGAAGTGAAATCCGCCACTGGATGGCGCACAAGTATCTTTATTGGACTTATAAAAAATGCTCGTTTAAGTCTGAAATTAGTAACATATACATGCATGCTGAATGTACCATGCAACAGCAAGGTTATCCGCTGCAGCCCCCTTCATTTCGGATTAATCAGGGAGAGACATGAGAAACCCACAGCATATAAATGACAGACATTGAGAGCAAGTGATCTCTGCCGTCCTGAGGGGGCCCCTGAGCTCACAACATTGAACTGATTAATATGTAAACAAACCCATTAGTCCACGCATGTGCTCTTAATTGTGGGATACTTCTGAGGAGTCGGGTTTGCAGTGGCTACACACAAAGAATGGGCGTGAGTTGCCCCTCGAAAGGGAGCCCAGAGACTCTTGCTTTTTTAGCAGCAGCGATCTGAGCGCTCAGTTCACAGTCTGCGAGAGACAGAGAGAGCATACTAGCGGGATGGAGAGCACAGGTAGGTCGTGATTTACCTTTTCTCAACAGAAATGCCTGCAAAGTGTTTGTTTAGCCACAGATATTAATTAGAACGATGGATAAAGATAACTGTAACATCATTTTCCATAGGCATTATAATTTGTTACAAAGTGCTGCGAACAGTTATACTCCGCAGTAGCACTTGTAGTTGGTTTAGATCAATATCAGGCGAATAGAAAATGTATATTTATATCAAAGCGATTTTTAGATTTTGGTATTTGCACTGCGACTCATTTTACGCACGATAGTCATTTTACGCACGGAAAATATACTCAAGTTCAATGACTTAACTATGTAAGATTTTTTTTCTGCTGCTGTCTGACATGAAAACTCTCACTTTTTCTCTTAAATCATCAGGATTTACCACCACAATTGTCTGAATACCCTTCCAAAACCAACTAAGACGCACAGGAGGGAGGGGAGTCACAGCCGGAGAGAGTCTGAGTGCGTCTGTGTGTCAGAGGGTGTTTGAGTGAGTGAGGCAGCATCACAGCTAGAGGAAGAGAGAGAGAGAGAGAGGAAGAGAGAAGGGAGTAAAGTCTGGACCAGGTGATCGAGTACTAACAAACCTCCAAGGGGCTGCCGGGTTGTATCAGTGTGCACGGGATCAGCGATCCGACCATGGTACCCGCGCGCTGCCCGGGACCCTGTGCCATGCTGGCTCTCACCCTTCTTTTGGGATGCGGCGTGGCTTTCTGCCTCGGCCAGAACGACACGGAACCCATCGTGCTCGAAGGGAAGTGTCTCGTGGTGTGCGACTCGAACCCTTCTTCGGACGGAGGGGTCACCTCCTCACTTGGCATATCAGTCCGCTCCGCTGGGGCAAAGGTGGCTTTTTCCGCCGTGCGTGGAACCAACCATGAGCCATCAGAGATGAGCAACACGTCTATGACCATCTATTTTGACCAGGTCAGATGTCCACTGAATTTAGCACTAACACAGCCCAGCAAAGGTCTAATACTAATCAGATATGGACCAATGTCTTAGCTCCATTACTGTTTTCTCCTTTTTTTCTCCCCCACACAATACATTCTATCTATTTGCCGTGGGCGAGCAGAACTTGTTCATGTTTCATTGATTTCCTATCACTGCTCACGCTCTATGTGATCTGAGCAGTGACTATCTTTAACCTAAAGAACATAATGCTGTTTGTCTTTGAAAATGCTTCGTTGAATGCTGTGCGTAATTTAGAAATGCGCTGCCAAAACGAGGGATCATCCATGTAGGATCATTCATCACATATGCGTCTTAGGCCTCGGCCGCATTGACATGTGCATTGTGTTGCTTTTGGTCTGATGTTCCAATAAGTTTTCACGGCTGAGGTCTTTGGACAGCGGCCTGTTATACGCATCAAATTGGGAACCATCCCAAACAGCGACTGAAGTGCAGCCAAAACATTTGGCATATACCAGAACCAGAGTATGACTGATACGCCTCTCTGTAGTCAATGTGCGTGGCAGAGACAAACAATACATTACTACAAAAAACAGCTGTCATGTTAAATGAAGCATGCAGATTGGAAAAAAAAAATAATGCGCTGTCTCATTGTGCGCCCTTCTTGGTCACAGGTATTAGTGAACATCGGCAACCATTTCGATCTCAAAGCAAGTGTTTTCCAAGCTCCGAGGAGGGGGATCTATAGTTTCAGCTTTCACGTGGTGAAGGTCTACAACAGACAAACCATACAGGTGAGCAACTGTGAAATAGTTGGTCTGTATTTAGTATTTAAAAGATCTTTCAGAGCAGAACACGAGACTAAACTCCAAGCCTGTTTCTATCCCCTCCTGCAGGTGAACCTGATGCAGAATGATTATCCGGTTATATCAGCATTCGCCGGTGACCAGGACGTTACGAGAGAGGCGGCCAGCAACGGAGTACTGCTGATGGTGGAGCGGGAGGACCGGGTCTATCTGAAGCTGGAACGGGGCACCCTCATGGGCGGATGGAAATACTCCACCTTCTCAGGCTTTCTAGTCTTTCCTCTATAATCTAATCTGCGATGACCCACGTCGCACGGGACCCTGCCTATGTCGAGGAACGAAAAAAAAATAACAAAACAAAACATACCATTTATTTTTAACTTAAATAACTGTCAGCCAAGGAAGCCGACGAATATCTGTATACCTACACTCGTCCACTATCTAGTCAAATATGAACGTTTCCTTGGAGTTTCATTATTCAAATCCATCAGTCAACTTTAACGCAATCTGGATGATTAAACGTATTGATCGGCCAGTGGCGTGTGCTTGTCGGGTATGTGGATTTTTTTCTTGCTTGGAAATCAAAACTTTGCCAACAGACAAAAGGGGTGCACCTGGGCAAAAAACGGACACGGGAGAAGAAGACGATTGAGTGGAAAAACTGATGTCCTGCACAGGCCGAGTGTGTTATGCTCTATTTTATGTTTGTATAGCCTTAAAGAGTATATGGTTTCCGTCCAAGTGAAGTATATGGAATTATGGACAACCAGAGAAGAAGTGCTTTCACACCCATGGCATTTTTTTGCACGAGTGGAAGTTTTTACTTTATGTTTTTTGTGCTGTCAATGGTGTTGCGTTTGGATGCTGAACATATTGAAAATAAGCCAAATGTAGGCCGCCAACGAGTTTATTAAAAGAGAAAAAAGGCGACATATTTCAGCCACCGGAGACGACTTAGAGCCCTTTTATTAAAAAAAATAATTATATAATTTATAAAGTACATATTCACATTATTGTGTGTTCTACATTTCGGAATCTGCGTAGCTTTGACTGATTTAATGTTCAGTGACGTTGCTCACCAAATGTACATTGTGGAAATAATAGAAGAATCCCTATATGTCCCGCTTAATAAAATATATTGTATTGTATAGGCTAAGCGCATTTATCACTTTTCATTGACATTGCTTTGCATTTTTAAAAAAAGGAGCAGGGTGAAGAAGGCAAAAAATGCTTGTTGTTTAGAAGTGAGACTTTTGTCAGTGAAGTTAAACGAGACCAAAGGCCTCAGGAGGAGACAGACAGCGGTGACTGAGAGCTGCTGCTGTAGTCGCTGTCCGAGGTGCTGAAACACTCAGCTGGACTCACTCAGAAAGTCTCAAGGCAGCACTTGTTACACGTTAAGAAACGCATACAACGGCGTCTGCACGTAAACGAAATAGAATTGCTAAACGATTTTTTTTTTTAAGATATCAACTTTAACGTGTTTAAAACGCCCGTTGTTGCTGCTGATTGGGTAGTGATTGCTGGGACTGAGCATCAAGTTACAGCACAACACGACACTGGAGCGTCTTTACGCAGCGCACAGACGGGTAGAGACAACAGAGGAACGCTTTCTCTTACAGAGCACAGGCAAAGGCCCCATTGCATAAACATATAAACGTAAACTTTGATGGACAATCGCATACTTTTAAGGCTGATACGATGAAAGAAGGCGAAACCGTCTGCAGTTTAGATTAACAAGCGCTAACTTTCCCGCCCTGTGGTGTAGGTTTGGGGTTTTTTTTAATCACATAATTGGATGCCACCGTATTGGAAAATACCCTCTCTCTCTCCCTCTCTCTCTCTCCCTCTCTCTCTCTCTCTTTCTTTCTCTCTCCCACACACATACACATACACACACATTTTTCAGTGAATGAGCTGAAGAAAAAAAATGCTATTAGCCATTACAGAACACAGTTGAAGAGACACATGTTGACTTAGAGTAATCACCAACAATAATATATTTAGCAGCCCTATTTTAATATTTGAACACAGGCTTTCTTTGACATATGCCAAATATGGGAAATATGAGGGAAACTTGCTGGTCTCATCATGCACAGTGATGAGGTGAATCCAGGTGAAAGGCTTTATCCTTTATTGATTGCCCTTGTTAAATCAGTGCCAGTGCCAGTTTGGGGCAATATAGATGTGGACTAAAGAGCAAAAGCACTGCCGCTGCAACTCAGTATCAGGAAGGTGTCCCTACTGTTTTCAACACTTACGGAAGTTGCAGTTAAGTTGTCTTTAATTTTGCAGGTCAACATAATTGATCTCTTTTATTTGAGGCTATTGGATCAAAGGGTAAACTGTGTTAACTCGTGCTTCAGCTTAGTTTGTAAAAGGCCATTTTCCATTGACTTTTTTAGTGCTTTGGGGGCTGTTGAAACTCTGATGTGTTAACTCTGGGGACTCGATCCAGGACACACCTTTAAACTTCCTGTACGGAGGCTGGGCTTCAGTGTGACTGCCAATGTCCTCACTGAAACAAGTACATGGAAAGAAAAAAAACACCTAAAGAACAGACACTGCTGAATACAAAACATAGCTTCTTAATCACTTTGCGTGGAGAGAAGAGAGGACAGACTGCAGAAACTGTGAAGTTTGCCATTGCTTATCTCAATCAAGCTCAGCTAAAATTAGTCTGTAAAGCTTGAAAAAAAAAAAAAAACCTTTAATTTACTTTGTTCAGCCTTTTTAAATCAACAAGGTTCTTGAGTGACTAGATGGAGACCCTCTCATTGGTTGAACATCATGAAAACAGAAAGTCATTCAGTGGAGAAAATGTCCAAACGAAGCCAGCATGACACTGGCTAAAGACAAAAACAACTTAGTTATGAGTAATGTGGAAAATATGCCAGAGGAGTTAAGAGCCTTATTACAACACTTGATGATAATCCCCAGCTTGTTGAAACACATTCAACCATAGTCTGTCAAACACAAACATAACAAAACATAAAAAATAAGAGTTTGTTCACGTGGGTTCAGAATGCAATCCAACAGCTGCTCAGCTCGGAAAACATCTGCATTTATAACTGATAATATCACACGTGAACATCTGGAAACTTGAGTTTGATGGCTTGCTTCTTCTATGTGACTTAAAAAACAAACAAACAAACAAACAAAAAAACATATACCTTCATCTTGAGTGTGACAGAACACAACAGCTGAGAACAAAGAGAAAGACCTGCTGATAGCCTGCTGATGCCAGCAATAGGACTGCACAAAGCAGCAGAAACTGCCAGCAAATCAGACTGATTTGGAGAGTGTATTAAATTGGCCTATAAAGTGCTAATTGTGCCCATACTGGAATGAAAAGTCTGTTTCCAAATGATTCCCTTAGATAATTAAGATAGCCGTCAAATGCGTACTCAGTGCACACAGAAAATGAGAAAAGAAAACAAAAACACTTTTTGGTTATTGCAGTGAAGTCTGACTAAATCTATTCCATCATGTAAATAATATAACTTTCATAGATGGGATTATTAAAGGGAAAGATGAGAGATATTTGCTGAATTTGTTGAATCTAGAAAGACATTTTACACCTTCAGAGGCACATTTCTATCCAAAATGTTGTATAACAGATACCACAGTGCTTCCAGTCTACTCACTTACTAAACTCACCCACGTTTTCATGTTATGTTGATGTATAAATGTATAATTCGCCTACCCCAAAGTACAATCAGTCTCCAAATATGGGGTCCATTTTAATGGAGGCACAGATGGCATTTTACTGTGCTTTGTAGACCACATGCAGATAATTACAAAACTTGTACACGCCATTAAAAAACCCCAAACTCTTATGGCCTTTTTCCGAGCATTTCTTGTTCCTCCTCCGTCTCTTTAAACATTATGTCCTCATGATACACATCCTTTTGAGGATTGTCCCTTTAATATGCATGACTCTAGGACACAGCACACGCAGTAAGATCACAAGCGGGCTGCACTGTGGGCCCCTCACCACGGGGAAGGTGCAGCAGTGCTCTATGCATTAGAATCTAAATTATGTAATAGACTCATCAGACCGGTGTCATCTTTGGTTCCAGACTCTTATAGAGAATGTCAGTTATTCATTAATGAGGTTGTTTTAGTGTGTAAACACCCACGCAGGCTCAAACACATTTACACTTTTAACCATTATGTACATGCACGCACCCACACACACACACACACACACATCACAAAGTGTAATTCCTGCTCATTCAGCCTTGAACAAAGTGGCTCATATTTAGAAACATCTAAACATATCTTCAATCCGCTGTAGAAAAAGCAACATTAAAACCATTTTAGCAATAAGAATTAAAGTTGTCTGGTGTTGATTTGAAAGCTGTCCTCTGAAGATCAAGACGGCTTTGACATTCATTGCAGCTCCTCTTGTAGTCTCTAAACATCTAAACATTTAATTACATTGCCTTTGCATATCTTCAGAGGGCGATTTGTTCAGTTTAAACAAGGATGATAGTTGGCAGGTAAATTGTCATCTTTTCTCTGCTTTTCTACACGTTAAAAAGAGAAATGAATTTATCATTTATGCAAACAAGATAAATGCCACCCTCCCCCTCTTTCTTCCATCAACATCAGTACATTTTATTTGTTTCTTCTTTCTAGTGAATGACAGAGTCCTTTATTGGAATAGGGAACTGTAGAACTTAAATCTTGCTCTTGCTTGATGCCTATCATTATCTTACTTTTTGTGGCACAAACCAATATGCATGTGAAAAAAAAAGTCCAGTCTGACAGAACGCACCAGTTGGGTCATTACTTGGTTGCTATCTACACTAGTAATTTAGCTTCACGCCAATGTTAGTTTTTCCTCACACATAAAAACCAGTTACACAATCACTGATTTTAGTCAGATTGTTATATTTTTCTCATAAAAGCATAAATAAATTGGTGCCTTCACCTTGAAACATCTCTTCACATACTGAGGAAACATTTGACCTCAACAAGAGGCTTTTCTTTTCTGTTACAGTCAGAAGCTGTCTTCTTCAGACCCAACATTTACTTTTCATTCAGAGACCAGAGGTCAAGAAAACATGTTGATACTGTTGGCACACTGTGAGACCCTTAAGAAACAGCTTCCTGACCCAACCCCCAACCCATGGTTTAAGAGCAGTGTTGAGCACTTTGCTTTACTTACTTCTTCTCAGAGCCAAAGAAAGCGAAATATGGTGACAGCTCAATTAATTATCTCTGACTGTGCATTTCACTGGCTGGTCAGTTTGACTAATGAAGCCAAGTTTGGTTTGATACAATATTTGCGTTTGGATATTTCTTGAATTTCAAGACTTCTTTCTTCTTTCCAGTGTGGGGACGTATATTGTTATCTTTCTTAGGACACACACTGCCAAAGGAGAGACACCCTAACAAGATTTTCAACCTTTCCTTTTGATTGCAGATGAGCTAAATACATTGGTATGCATGAGGGTGAAAAAACCCCTTAGAAAAGGTGTCTTTTGCCTTAGATTCATTTTCTCCCAGTCCTATTCCCTGTTATGGCTGAAATTGCCGTATGTGTGATTGTGAGTGTGAATAAGCCTTTCACAGCATTATTTTTATTCAAGCTGTTCCCAGGCAAACCTACAGGCAGTTCCTTTTGGGTTTGAAATTACGCTTAGGGGCCCACTCAATCTAATATCTAATGTGGCTGTGAGTTAAAAGGAAATGCATACTGAATGTCAGGATTTATCACCACTTTTATGGTCCAGACCTCTTTATATCATTTTTAAAACCTCTTTCCATAGGTTTCCCTCCAAATGAGCCCTGCTAATTTCACGGGCCATGGTGATGGCAGCGTTTTGTCTGCAAAGCATGGAGACATAACCTGCATAAGACATAAAACCACCTGTGCCCTCTTCTACTGAGGAGTAAGACAGATTGAAGCACATTTGCACATTGGAATATTTTTTCCTCAATTATTTTGATTCCTGAATTTAAGGCTATGGCAGATTACTTACATAAATCATATATTCTTAGAGTCAAATTTCACATAAGGCTTTGATATTACAGTTAAGGTTCGGTAGTGACCTAGCTAATTTGCACTTGAATAGAAAGACACTGATGCAAATGGAGAGAGGATAACATGTGGCAGTGGCTTGTTAATAATGCATTTGTTTGCCAAACAAATAAATAGACGCATAACACAGACAAACATCAGTCACAGAAGCGCCTCTGTGAACAGGCCCATCCCTGAAGAAAAGGGGGGAGACGAGAAAGACAGAGAAAATCTGTTTATTCCTTCTGCCACAGCCTGCAATATCCATACTGCTGAAACACGCAATTCCCCAAAGAAAATACAACCCCGTCCAAGCCCACCCCTCAGCACCACCCCTCCCCCAACCACACACAGACAGTAGGCAACGTGGAGCCAGGCAACCCAGGCTCATATGAACAACTCCTTGATGTGACGGTTTCCAATACATCATCTGTCTACACATTAGATTCAGGCACAGCAAGCCTGAGAGAAAGCATCCTGGACCCCAGCACCTAACCAGTCTAACTACATTCATTAGAATGGGAAAAACTGTGCCTCAGCACAACTAGCTCGGGTGGATGAGAAAACACACACTGAGCGTTGTTGATCCTTTGAGTCAGGGACAAACACAGAAAAGTACACACACTTGCATATGTGTAAAGTGGCAAACATGCACACATATACTGCAGCAGCAGCAATAAGATTATTTTTTACAGGTGTGGGTGTGGATTCTGGTAATGGTAATTTTATAGATCATTTGGATGGGATATAACACTGGGTTTAATAAGGTTACATTTCTATCCCCTGTAACTAAAAATAGACTATTACCAACCACAGCCAAGCAACCAGAATGTGTTATATTGCTAATGGAAACCCATACATAACTCAATATTTGAGATATTTCATCCACAGTTTGTTTTCTGAACAAATGGGACCAGGCAAACCTGTAAATCAGGTATAAGTGGTTTTTTTTAATATATATATATTATACGCATGCAGCTGAAAAGTGAAACCGTCCAGAGCATGTCAGACATTTCTATAAGGCTGACTCTCATGATTCCTGTCACCCTGCAAACGTTAATGGAACTAAATATAAGATTTTCCTGTAGATAACTGCGTTTATCCAGCTCTGTGGCATTTCTGTGGCATGTGATCCACAGCTCCATGAAACTGTTGTCCTGCACTGACAGAGACATGAGCTGTTTACTTATTACTCTCTTTATTGCCTTATAGATACAGACAGTTGCCCCTTTCAGATTGTGTATGACTATTACAAAAGTCATCTCTTGCAGTGATAATGAGTATCAAGAGAGTAAGAGCTAAAGCACAGCCTGTGGTCGATGTTGACTGTATCCCTGCGTACAGAGATGCCTTTTTTTTTCAAGTTTGATGTCATGTGGGCTAATTCCTACGTGAGAATTAAAAACTGAGAACTTTTCACAACTTTGTTAAACAATAAAAATGACACAAATGCATTCAGTGAAAGGTTATTATTCCCAAGACAGAGGATTTTATCAGGATCCAAATTTAAATCAGTCTGTTAGTCTGTCAAAAGGAGATTGTTTACCTTACAGTGATATAGTGATATAGTGATATAGTGTAGCATATGTGTAACATAAATATATGGATGTTGAATACAAATTCATCAGAAAGAATCCTTGTGAATAGTTTGGGCAACAGAAATGTTAGTTTGCTCAGCATGAATAAAACACTTGTGTATTCTGTTTTAGCAGGTAAAGCTCAAGATACTTAACCTTATTAAACTAACAGGAAATTGTGTGACAATATGTGTGACGTCTTGTCAGTCAAGTTGCAACTTTGGAGTGTCACCGCCAATTAAAGTTCACAAATAGACATTGAAATGTTTTGAAACAAAAGATTTATTTCTTCTTTAATTCCTATGCATTAACAGCACATTTAATAAATTACCTTATTTAGTATTAGTACTTCCTTCTTTGAGTACATGTTATTTTGTCACTATTCCAGTGTGAACACACTACATACTAAAAGCCTGCTTAGAATCAATATGTAGTAAGAATGAGACTGTATAAGCATACGCTGATGTTAACTGACAAATAGTTTAGTTAAAGCTAAAATAAAATATGTTTTTTTTTCATAAGTGGCTATGATCATGATTCTGAAAGTCAGCCTACTGGAGCATAAATGCAACACATGGAATAATGTTGTTATCCTGTTAATTTCAGAGCAATAGTGAGTTTAAATATAGCTGCAGCTGATGGTACAACAGCTAGCTTGGCTTAATTTTGGTTATTGTTAAGATTCATTTTGCACCATTAAACTGTCACATTTATAATCTCCTTTATCCACACTCATTATACGATGGTATCAAAATCAATTTTAAAAAATGCAGATACAGATTAAGGTAAATATTTTAGAAAGGGGCTTTAAATGGACTTAAATGATGCTGAACAAATTCAAATATGTGCTGATAAGAAAATCTTGTTTTCATTATTCCTTATTTAAGCTTAAGAAAGCAGTGGGGTTTTATTCCTTCCCATGAAAACATGTTTTATGATCATTTACAATGAGCCAAATGCTGCATGAATATTTGAATGTCTGACAATAATTTGCTTCGAGAAAGAGGCAGGCATTAAGCGTTGCACCCTCATCACCATCAGTAGCACAGATCAAGTAAATTGAACAGAGTCTAGAATATAAAGGACAGAGGTGTACTGGTTGGTTTGCCACTGGAGACAAAACCAAGTTTGAATGCTGTTTTATTGTTTGAACATACAAGTGACAAAACTAAGCTGGCTGCACAATCCTGCAGAATGATAGTTCTGCGACTAACAAGATGAATTACAGGTG